TGATACAGGCTTTGCTTTTGCTTTTGATTATATGTAGTTCCCATAGCTAAAGATCTCATCTTACCTTGTAGCATGCATGCATGCTAAACTGCATCAAAACCTAAGAAAAAACTCCCTTCCTCTCCATTCACCAGTCCAGAGCGCATGTTTTATGAAAATGGTAGGTCAGCTGTCAAATCCAGTTCTTTTCCTATTTTCGTCAGATGGAAGCTGCTTTCTGCTGGCAGAAACAGTTTTTTGTTTATTTTCTAGGTCTGTTAATTCAAATTTTACTTATGTGAAGCATTTATCTTTATTCTTATCTGTCTCCTGTCCCTTTGAAACAATCTGACTTAACAGTTGCGAGATCTAAAGTGAGGGATATAACTAGGGATCCTGGTTTTCTCTGTTAAAAAATCCAGAATGCTCTGATAAAACCCCCCAAATTCTCTGATTAAAAAACTTAAGGTCTGCTTTTCTTTGTGATTTAAAATGAAATGTCACACATGTACACATCTACATACGTACATATAATAAGTGATGTTTCATTTTTATATATATATATATATATATTTATTTACATGCATACACACACCTTAACGTTGTGGTTAGGTTCTTGAAAAATGCGACTTTAAGTGAAACGATGTTAAGCGAATCCAATTTCCCCATAAGAATTAATGTAAATAGGGAGGGTTAGGTTCCAGGGAAATTTTTTTCCCCAGACAAAAACCATTATATAGCACCCCCTTTTCCTTGTGCTGCAGCCTTGGGTGGGGTGGCTCCCTGCTGCCGCGTGCACTCCTGTAGGCAAGTGGTGGGGGGGAGAGGGGGATTGAGGCCCCTGTAGGGAGGCAGCTGGGCAGGGCTGGGGCTGCTGCACAGCCAGGTGGCATTTGGGGCTTGGGGCCCGGGGCTGCAATGCGTGACTGAAGGGCCCCATTGGGAAGCAGGACAGGGCTGCGGGTGCCTCGTCCAGGGGAGGGCCGGCTCTCCACTGCCACGCATATCCCAGGGGGCTGTGGGGATCCACGCCCCCTAGATCTGTACCCTGGGCAGGTGCAGGCTGTGGGATTGGGCTTCCACCCTGCTTTGCTCCCCTGGGGCCTCCACTGCCCTGCAGGCATGGCCCAGTGTGACTGTGGACAGTGGGGCTGCACGGGGATCTCCTCGCTGCTGCCACCCCCCATCCCCCGCCCTGGTGATGTGCCCCCTGCTCGTGCTGCTGCCTTGAGGGTCACAGCCCTGCACGCAGGAGGCACATTGCCAAGGCAGGGTAGGGCAAGCAGCAGCAAGGAGATCCCTACATGCATCTGCTGCTGCCTGCCAGGCTGCGGAGGCCACGGGGGAGGGAAGGAGGGCGGCAGGGAGCAGTCTGTGCCGAGAAGCTGCTAGCCACTGCCAGCTCTGTCCTACTTTACTCTCCTGCAGCCTCCACAGCCTGGTGGGCATGACCTAGTATGACTGGGGGCAGCAGGGCTGCACAGGGATCTCCTCACTGCTGCTCGCCCCTCTGCTGCCCTAGCAATGCATCTCCTGTGCACGGGGCTGTGCCCCTCAAAGCAGCAACACAAACAGGTGATGTGTTGCCAGGGCGGGGGGAGGAGGGGTGGTGAGCAGTGGTGAGAAGATCCCCACATGGCCCCGCTTTCCCCAGTCACACTGCGTCATGCCCACAGGGCTGTGGAGGCCCCAGGGGAGTGAAGCAGGGTGGGAGCCCAGGCCTGCAGCCTGTGCCTGCCCCGGGTACAGACTTGGGAGTGCATGTGGCAGCAGGGAGTCAGCTGTCCCCCTTCCCTAGACCAGCCACACGCAGCCCCGTCCTGCTTCATGCTGGGGCCCTGCAGCTGTGCATTGCGGCCCTGGGCCCCAAGCCCTACCCAGCTGGGCAGTGGTCCCAACCTTGCCTAGCTCCCTCCTTACAGGGGCCTCAATCCCCCTCTCCCCCCACCACTTACCTGCTGGAGCTGCTCTGCAGGCTGCCTGGGCCATGTGTATATACATACATGCATGTGGCGTCCCCTGTCTCACTAGCAGGCAGTGGCCAAACAATGTTATAACGGGACGTTGCGCAAATTTAAACAAATATGTTAACAGATCAGTGATGTAATAACAAAACAACACTAACTGGGATGTTGTTAAGTGAGAAGTACTCCTGTCTGTGTGTGTATTGTAATAAAATAAATTCTAAATACCTGTATATTTTGGCATTTGATTTTGGTTTTTTTTATTATGGAAAATCAGAGCTCTCCCTGCCCCCTTTGCTCATCAGGATGCAGGTCCAGCTGCAGCTGCCCCCTCTGCTGTTTTGTGGCACTGAGCAGCCATGATATGCCAGTGCCCCTCATTCCAAAGCCACAGCCCTGCCAGTGCCCCTCACTTCTGATCTGCAGCCCCTGCCTACAGGGCCAGTCAGCACTTACTCCCTTCTGGGAGCAGCTGTCCCCCTGCACCAGGACATAAGTGCAACTGTGGTTGTCACCTCCCGCTGCTTTGGGACACTAAACAGCTCTGACATGCTAGTGCCCTGCCCTTGCCTATGCCATTGCCCCTCATTTGCAAGCCATAGCCCCACCAACCCTGCCAGTGCCCCATGTGTGTCCTGCATTTTGCTGTCCCCCAGCCAAGGGAAGCCCAGCAGCGGGCAGGGCAGGTGGGAGGGAGGAGAGGAAGAGGGAGGGGGAGTGGGATGGGGATGTAGGTGGGGCCACCCATGGGGCCAGGTGGAGTCTGCCCCAGCCACCTTTTAGCCCCCACCAAGTGGAGACTGCTGTCCCAATGAGAGTCCCCAGTCCACCACAGTCCCTGCCCTACTGCCCTTGCTTTCCTGCTCCTAGGCACTCACCGCTCAAGTGGTTCCAGGTGGCAGCAGCATGTCCTGGCAGAGTTGGGCTGCCCCGACTGCTGTAGGCTCATTGTGGCTCTGGCCAGCCAGAGCCAGCCCTTGCACACTGCCCGGGGCTGCCAGCACTTGTCCCCACTGCAGATTGTGGAGCTGCCCTGCCAAGACGCTCTGCACTAGCCCGATCTGGTCCAGGCACTATGGATGCTGAGCGCTTTGATGTATCCATTGCCACCTTTTGGAACCATCTGGGCAGTGAGCACCTGGGAACAGCAGGATAGGGGTAGCGGGGCAGGGACTGCGGTGGGCCAGAGACTTGCATGGGCACAGCGGGTGGGTGGCAGCTGGGGCAGACCCTATCTGGCTCCATGGGTAACCCTCTCCCACTTCTTTTCCTCCTCCTCTTCTTTCCCTCTTCCATCTCACCCTGCCTGTCACCAGGCTTCTCATCCACCCCTTCCCTACAGGGCCAATGAGCAGGCCCCAAAACCTGTAAAATCAGATCCAGGGGCCACACAGGGACGAGGAAATCACTGGCCTCCTCATTCCCAACCCATAGCCCCCAGGCTCCCCAGGCCCTACTTACTCCAAAGGCTGCAGGAGGCAAACCGAGTCTGACCCAGCCCTGGCTGGTCTTAAATTCCCATGCCCCCTCCCCCTTCCTGTTTTCCCTTCAGACAGAGTTTAGGGTTTTGCACCCTTTTTGCAAGCAGCTTGTTGCAGGCTGAAACTCTGCCAGCCTGTGGAGAACTGTTTGCAAAAGGGGAAACCCATGGTTTTCCACTTCAAAGGGGAAAATCCTCATTTTTCTGCAGGAAATGGAAAACCTGGATCCCTGGATATAACCAGAAATAAAGCTCTCAGTGATTTGGGTGACCATTTTTTTTTTTTTTTACAGTTCATAAAGTTTTCTGTGAACTTGAGTTTTAAGTTATATGATCTTGAGGTCAAAAAGTATACAAACAATACCAAGTCTGTGTGATGGAGGAAAGTTTGGATCAGGTAAGTAACTGCCTTACATGCCTTCATAAAGGGATATATATGAAGGACAAAGTCATAGAATCATAAAAAATGAGGGTTGGAAAGGACCTCAGGAGGCCATGTAGTCCAACCCCTGCTCAAAGCAGGAGCAGCCCCTACTAGATCATCCCAGCCAGGGCCGGGCCTTAAAAACCTCCAAGGATGGAGATTCCACCAACTCCCTAGGTAACCCAGGGGCGGGCAATTATTTTGGGCGGAGGGCCGCTTACTGAGTTTTGGCAAGCCATCGAGGGCTACATGACAGGCAGCCCAGGGCAGATTAATATTAATTTTCTACATTTTTTAGGGGCCCCGTGGGCTGGATAGAATGGCTTGGTGGGCCGCATCTGGCCCGTGGGCCACATTTTGCACACCCCTGAACCTGTTCCAGTGCTTCACTACCCTTCTCGTGAGAAAATTTTTCCTAATATCCGACTTAAACTTCCTTTGCTGCAACTTGAGACCATTGCTCCTTGTTCCGTCATCTGCCACCACTGAAAACTGCCTAGTTCCGAGTCAAGTCCATCAAGAATCCTTCAACTCTTTCTAAACAGACATAAACTTTGTGGCACATCTCTAAACATCTACAACATTATGCTTGTTACTATAGTTCCCACCCACTATGACTGTTCCCTGCATCATGCTGGTGCCATGCCACTATCACTTGTATAAAGGGAACGTCTCTGTTTTTTGTTAATGGAGTAAGGCATGGCATAGATTTGGTTCCGTTTAGTGTAAAGGCAATGGTTCTCTCAGTAGTCTTTATTATAATAATACATTTGGTTAGACCTCAGTAAGAATGGTCAGTTTGGCAGCTGGTAAGGGGAAATATCTAGCACTGTTTGATGAGCATATTGGTTACTTAAATGTTTCTCTTCACTAGTAGAAGCTGTTGTTCTTTTGCAGTGGTACTTAGCTCAACTTTGGAAAATACGCATCTTTGTATCACAGGATAAAATCCTGAAAATAATTTTAATGACCTTATTGGAAATTAAAACTCCCAAACACTGTCTTTGTTCTCATTAAGTATTTCTAGTTTGACTGTCAAATGATCAAAGTTTTATATGAAAAATTGCTTCAGGCACTAAATGAAGCTGTAAGATTTACATGAAATGCTTATTTTGTATTATCAGACCTTAATGTTATGTGTCTTTCATTACAGGAAATTAAAATGCATGACTGATAGTGAAACTGTTGCACCAGACTGGCCTTATTACAAAACCATTGATAGGATCCTGTCTAAAGTAACAGAACACAGTGATGTGAAAATGCATGAAAGTCAGCAACCAGGTCCTTCTACATCACAGACTGAAGCCTCACAGTCACCATCAGCTAAGTCTACACCTCTCTACTTGCCATATAACCAATTTACTTATGAAGGAAGGGAAGAGTGTTTTGAAGATGAACATTCAGAGAGCTCATCAAGCCTACTTTCTTACAAGCTTAGGTAGCTTTTTTTATTCTCTCTCATATGTCACATTAGACTGGGTCTGTAAGACGGCTTACATTTCTCTCACTTTTGCTTTTGCTCTCTCTCACTCTTGCTCTTGTGCTGTCTTTCTTGCTCTTAAATCACGAGTGAGATGTGGCAGTAACTTAACTGCAGGACTAAAGTTTTTCATCTGTGGGCGGTTAAAGGGATTTGGAAAGACTGGGTCAGGACTGATACCAAAAATGCTGCACAGTGTCCCCCAGCTTAGCATGAATGTCACTCAGATCATGAGATGCAATAACTCTGCTGGGATAGCAGGTGCCTCTCTGGTTCTGTGACATGGGTGACTGGTGCCTCCTAATACTGGGGGGCACCAGTGGCTGCTTGATGACGGGGGGAGTCTCCAAGCAGCTGATTGCTGACCGGGGGGCTGGGGGAGAAAAAAAATTTG